GCCGTGGCGGGGAGGCCCTGGGGCGGGGGCGCCTGAGAGGCGGAGGGGCGCCGGAGAGACACCGACCCGAAGCCCCGGGCCGGGCCGGGCCGGGCTGTCAGTCGGCGCGACCCTCCCTCCCTCCCTCCGTCCCCGCTGGCCGGCGCTTCGGCGACCCTCCTCCCCGGGGAGGCTGCGGCCTCTCCCTGCTGCGCGCCAGCGCGCTGCGCCGCCTCGCTCCTCGTCACTGCAGCCCGTATTTGTCTGTCTCCTCTGCTTCATCGTGACCCCAATAAACGAGGCCTAGCGTGCCGAGGGCTCGCTCGAGGCCCAGGAAAGGGAGGGAGGATGTCACCAAAGGCCTTCCTGTCCAGCGCCCGCTCCTCTCCCGCCCCACTCGCAAAGCAGGGTGGGCTCCGATCACCAGGCCAGGAGCTAGGAAGCCAGGGTGGCCGCTGGCAGGCCAGTGGTGGACAGGGCGCGTGAGTGGGCTGAAGCCCAAAGAGAGCTGGACAGGGACAAAGAGACCCCTGGACAGAGGGCCCACAGGGAGAGAGGGGAAGTGACCCGAGGCCCGCCCCACCAGCCTGGCTACCCTGCAGAGGCAGAGGGGAGACTAATGATGCCCCCTCTTTCTCCAGACAGGCGACCTCCTTCCCAGGCCCTCCCTCCCTCCCAGGCCCCCCACCCTCACCCCATACCCTTTCTGTGACTGGGAACGTCAGTGGGGAGGAGTGAGCCTACTCCAGGCAGCCTGCTGAGCTCCCACCTTGGCCTTGCCTGCTGGCATTCTCTCCTGCGTGGGGGCTGGGACAAAGACCTTCTCAAAATTCCTGGGATAGTGGGAGACATTGGCATTCTTGGACAGTCTTAGCCGAGTGGGCAACCCCCTCCTCAAACATCCTGGTCTGTGGACTACAGAAAGGAGGGGCAGGGGGTGGCCACTGCTTTGCAGTCTCTACTGAAGCACTGACTGGGCCTTGAGTCACAGCCCCCCCCAGCCGCCCCCCCCCAACACGGACAGAGAGACCAGGTGATCCAATGAGATAAACAGCATCAGGAACAACACTGCTGAAGGTCTTAGGTCCAAGATGAATCAGTGGACAGTTGGGGCTGTTTCAGATGCTGCAGAGGGTTTGGGAGAAAGACACCTCAAAATACAGAGGCACCTCACATTGAAAGGAATCTCACATGCTCTTGTTTAGCACGGGACTTAGGTACTCAGGTATGTGCTCTCTTTTTTCCTATAGGATTTATTTCATTTACTTACACATACAAGAACAGGGGTGGGGGGGTGAGAAGATTCACCAGAAAGACTGGGGCGCAGAACAGGCAGATCCACTGAAATATGCTGCTGAGGGAGCAGTGGGGGGACAGGAGAGGTCTGCTGTGCCCTGTGGGTCACTCCTGGCCGGGATGGACTCAGGCTGCAGCTTGATGGCAGTGAGACTGACCCCTGTGCACCAGGAGGGCCCGTTAAGATCGATAGAAATAGGGTGTCATTTGAAGTTCTTGCATAAGGAAGTTACATATCAAATGCTTTATTTTAGCAATAAGACGAGGAGACCCACAAGCAAGAGGACGGGGCGGTGCAAGGGTGAGTGGAGATAGCCAGTGAGACACGGCGCTGGAGATGATGAAGTGGGGGACCGCGAGAGCTACTCCAAATGGTCTGTTTCTGCTTCCCGGGGTTCTCCGAGGAAATGCACCTTTAATAAGGCCACTTGCTTGTGCTTAGAAGAACCCACATAATAAGGTGAGAACCCCACTATTTGCCCTCTGCAGACACACCTTGCTGCACCCCCCAGCCTGGGCCTCACCTCACCCTTCCCCTGCAGCCTCTGCATTCAGCTCAGGCCCAAGCCGAGTGGACCCAAATAAGAATACGTGGGCAGAGCCAGGCTGTGCCACCTACTTGGGGTGTCTCCTCTGCAAGCCCTTTCTCTTTCACCTTCGTAAAGATTTATTTATTGATGCACACAAGAGCTGGGGTGCAGGCTAGAGGTGTGGGGGTGAGAGGACTCCACAGAGACAGAGTGGGGAGCAGGACAGGCGGATCCACTGACACCCACTGTGGAGGGGGCAGCGGGGAGACAGGAGGGGTCTGCTGCGCCCTGGGTCCCTCCCTGGCCCGGGATTGGACTTGTGCTGCGTCGGCTGTGACAGCTTCACAGTGCTGAGAAAACCTGTTGTGCCACCAGGGCACAAGAATTTTTAATTCTTCATGGGCCCTGTCCGGTGGCACAACAGGTTAGGATGCAGCACCGCTAGCTAGCAGCAGCCACTGCAGGGCGAGTTCCATCCCCACAGGGCGCGGCAGACCTCTCCTGACTCCCCGTTGGCCCCTCAGCGTGGAGTTTGTTGATCCGCTGTTCTGCTCCCCACTCTGCCTCTGGGGACTCCTCTCACTGCACCTCTGGCCTGTACCCCAGTTCTGTATGCATAAATAAATAGATCTTTCATCTTCCTTTTCCATCAGCATCCCCCCTCAGCAAGTAACATGCGCGCATATCTCCCATGACTAAAAGAAACAATTCTAGACTGTCGGTCCGTGTCTGGACTTAGCCGTCACCAGCCCGTCTCCCCTCCACCTGTCCTGGCTGAGCGGAGGCCCAGAAGGACAGCCTGGGGAGGGCGGGGCGGGGCGGGGGCGTCCAGAGCACAGGCCAGAGGTGGAAGGAGATGCAGGGTGGGAGCCAGGTGGGGAGTGGGGAGAGCTGCACCAGTGCCGGTGCGGGCACCCCCATGCTGTTTTGGGCACCGGGCCCTGGGTCCCGGGCAGCACCACGCTGTCTCCTGGACCCTCCGCAGCTGCCCACACGAGGACCGGCTTGGGGGATCTGCAGGCGGCCTGCTGGGGCTGGGAGCGAGACGTGGGAGCAGGCCCACACTGGTCACCAGGCTCGAGGTGACTGTGGGAAAAGCAGAAGCTTGGGGTCACCAGGTCCTCAGCCTGCCACCTACCAGCAAATCTGGGGAGCCCCTGTTGGGCCTCCTTTACCTGCCGTGGTGGTCCGCGGACACAGTGGCCTTTAACTCCCGAAGGCGGGCAGGTGGCACAGCGCCCAGGTGCCCTGACTCCGTTCAACTGCCCGCCGCCTCCCTCCTTGACCCCTTCCAGGCCCTCTGCCAGTCCAGCCCTCAGCCCTTGCCATTCTCCCCAGCCCTGCACCAGGCTCCTGAAAGGCAGTGACATGTCCAGCCCCAGTTCTGTCAGGGACCCTCAGCGCCAGGGTGAGGAAGACCCGGCTGGAAGGAGGCCAAGGCCCACCCTGGTTCCAAGGAAGGGCCGGGTCCTCCCTTCCAGGCCGGCCTGCGACTGCCCAGCCTCGGACCCTCTGAGAAAGCAACCCCGCCTGGGCTCACTGGTTCTCCCTGCTTCTGCAAGGGCTCACGGCCTTGTAGGGGCGCCCCTTCCCCAGAGGCCACTTCCTGACGCCCCTGCTGCCCCCAACAGGTGCAGCACCTGCGCGCCCCCCCTGCTGTGAGCGCCCCCTGGGGGCTCCCCTCTTCACCTCTCTGCTGGGCATGGCGCCCCGTCGTCGTCGTCGTCG